CCTGTAGTCCCAGCTACTTGCGAGGCTGAGGCAGGAGAATGGCGTGAACCCGGGAGGCGGAGCTTGCAGTGAGCCGAGATTGCGCCATTGCACTCCAGCCTGGGCGACAGAGCGAGACTCCGTCTCAAAAAAAAAAGGTACCAATATAGATAGCACAGTGGGAAAATTATAGGAGGGTGATGTCCCCTAAAAGGGAAAGCATCACAAATTTTGCTTGGCCCCTCTCTTCAGGATGGAGGGGACAGGGATTCATCTCAGTGGCCAGACTTGAGGCTGTCATGCAATCCCTAACTTCAAAGTGTTCAAGAGGCCATTTGCATTAATACTTCCTAGGGAAAGGCAATGCCCCATAGATCTTCATCTCTTATCCTCACCACTTCTGGTAGTTAGAGACCTTGGATGAGCCAGTATCTTCAAGACTGATTTATACTACAGAATCTTAACAAATTCACCCACCTAGGACAGTCAGAGTTGCATTTGCAGAAATACTTCCTGCACTGTTCTGAGCTGTGCAGCTGTATACCCCAATGTCCTCTATCTTCACATCCACGATAAAGAACACGTCATCCTCGGGCATCACATGCATGCGTCTCTCCCGTGCAGCTGGGAAGTCTGTGCCCCCATCCTTCTGCCAGGCTATCTGGGGGGCTGGGTGCCCCACAGCAGCACACTCCAAGCGTGCCATGGCTCCAGCTCGGATGGTGAGGTCCATGGGGGTCTTGGTGAATGAGGGAAGCACTGAAATCAGAGAAATAACACAGGCATTAGCCCAATGGAGTCTTAGAGATTCACTTGCATTCCTTTTTATTTATTATTTTTGTTTGTTTGATACTTACAGATTGTCCCTGACATAGATTGGGCAGGGGTTAATTCCAATTTCAAGTCAAGGAAACTAAAGTTGAGATGGAAAGATTAAAAGCCCGCTCAAAGTTACAGACACAGAAACAATGAAGTCAGGATAAAACACAGGTCATCTGATTCTCAGAATGAAGGTCTTCCTGCTATTTTCTGCCGCTTTTTAGTTTCCTCAGTAATGAACTGTGAGATCTTGGGCATATCAGTTAATCTCTTTGTACCCTGACCATTCACTTCATCTATTTTTTTTTAAGTCCCTCCTGGTAGCTCTAACATTCTGTGACTTTTGATACATGTTTTATTCTACAATTTAAACTCTGAACTGTTCTATGTGCCAGGTCACAGCCATTATTTGCTGAGTGAATGCATTAATGAATCATATTCAAAATCTTCTACCATGGCAGATACAGACAGTTAAATGATAAAGTGGCAAGCATCCTACTGTAAAACTGTACACCTACCACACAAAGCAAACAAGAATAGACTTCCATTAACAGTGGCTAACAGTGCATTTACTGAGCACTACACCTTGTAGCCATTTTGCTACATCCTTTACACACATTATTTCACTGAATGAGCATAATGCCTCCAGGGGGCAGGTCCTATTATCCCTAATTAAAAGATGTGGAACTGGAGGCAGAGACGTAATCTGCTGAAAATCACGCAGAAGTGGCAGGATTCACACACAGATCTCTGAATTAAAGGCACTGTGCGTCCAGCATGACGCTTTGCAGCCTTCCAGATCAGTATACTGCACTGTAAACTCTCAAAGAACAAAACATGGCCAGGCACGGTGGCTCATGCCTGTAATCCCAGCCAGCACTTTGGGAGGCCGAGGTGGGCAGATCATGAGGTCAGGAATTCGAGACCAGCCTGACCAACATAGTGAAATCCCGTCTCTACTAAACATACAAAAAATTAGCCAGGCATGGTGGTGCACACCTGTAATCCCAGCTATTCAGG